GTCCTGGTATGGACCGGTCCGAACAGAAGTTACAGAACCGGACAGTGACTGCTCCGTGCGGTCCTGCTGTCACAGAACCGGACCCTCGCTGACACTCACCGCTGCTCCAGGTTGCAACTTGCTCCGTGTCAGAACATCCCGGAACATCCACAGGTATTGTCCCCATGAAGACTAAAAACACTGAGGTCTTTATAAACTCAGGAACATTTTAGCTGTGAGGATTAAATTAAAACGGGATCACATCAAATGGGATTTAGCCTAAAATATACAGTATGTCCGGTTGGATTCGGATCACCGTAGCGTTTTTTTTTAGTCCTGATCCAAGCTCTACGTGAAAAAGCAACCTTTTATTTGTTTAAAATATATATTCAACCACAAAGAGAAGTTAATTCAGTTTGTTTCATAATACCTCGCGCTGCAGCAGCAGAGAGGTTTTCACACCAGGCTGCCCGAACACCTCTGCTGCCGGGGTGGGTTGACACTTCTGTCTGGGGTGGAGTGGTGTGTTGTCGGCTGTGGGGTCTGGAATGATCCGGGTGACAGAACACTTGTCAGCCCCAGACTGAGCTGTATTGTGAATTTTAATAGAAACAGGGAACCAAACAGAAATTAAAAGATATCCTTTCTGTTCTGTTTTGGACCAAAGTCATATTTTAACAATTTTTTTTTTTTTTTTTTGCCTGGCTGGATGTGGCTGGGGAAGTGGCTGGCTGGTGTTCTTGTGGAAGAGATCGGTCGACTGGTGAGATCTTTTGGGTGCTGGCTGAAAGCGGGCTGGCGCGGACGGAGGAGAACCAACGGTAAAAAAGCCAAACAATGACGAGACGCGGTAAAGGAAACAACAACGAGACTACAATGGAGGAGTTTAAAAAGTCCGGCTGTGGAACCCCAGTGAAGTTAGTTTCAAGTTGGATATTCGAGCTCCGCGGAGTAAGCGGCATTTAGCTCAAGGTTGATCCGATTTTTGAATGCTAATGTCGGCCAGCGGTTCTCCACCGATCCCGGCCCAAGCGCCCGAAGGTTCACTTAGGGACTGTCAACAAATTACCGAACCAAACACTCCTGTCAAACAAATGCTAATAAACGCCTTGAACAGTAACCAACTAATTGTCAGTGCTAATTCATGCTTTTACATGAGATAAAATATAATCTATTAAATTTTAAAGTCATATACAATATTTTCAATAATTTTAATATTAAATAATATAATGTTTTTTTCAATAGCTTCCAAGTCATGTGACCTGTTGACTCAGAATCCCTTTGAAACTACTAGTCTCTTTAGATGAGGCAGAGGCATTTGTTTTCAATTTTAAGCCTTTTTCCATCTTTTAGGACTTTTTTGTCAAAATTGAGGGTTTTTCTACAATAGCTTCCAGGTCATGTGACCTGTTGACTCAAATCACTTTGAAATAATTATACTAGTCTCCATAGATGAGGGACAGACATTTGTTTTCAATTTTAAGCCTTTTTCCATTTTTTAGGAATTTTTTTGTCAAAACTGAGGGTTTTTCTTCAATAGCTTCCAGGTCATGTAACTGTTTGTAATAATTACACTAGTCTCTATAGGTGAGGCACAGACATTTGTTTGTTTTATGTTTTTTTTATAATTCATAGCAATCCTTTCCTTAAAGTTTTTGATTGTTGCTCAATAGCTTTCAGACAGCGTCATAAAATTACTTCAAATCAGTTTGAAATTATTCCAGTACACTGGATAGATCACACATAGCATCAATGCTACACAAACATATTACAGTTTCATTTTACACAGATATTTTCAGAACGTGTTTCGAACAATAATAAACACAGTTTAAAGTTTTCATATTAAGCACACAATACACATTTCCAGCTGCCTGTCTGGGTCTTGAAATTCTGTGCTCTTCATGTTTTGGCACAGGGCATGGTACCATTGGTCACAGTTGTCACACTGGATCTGTTCACAAATATAAGAAAATATACATGTTTAGCAGTGTAGAGGTAACCCTGGTGAAAAAAAAAACTTTTCTATTGTTTTTTTTCTTTGTCTTTGATTTTATTTTTTACACTTATAAGAAGAAAATCATTTTAAAGTGTTTTTATTTTCTTTAAGTGAATAGAACAACAGGTTCTA